AAGGACTTGCGTGTTCCAGATAGAAACAGGCAGGGCAGAGCTTGAGAGCCACTGGCCTTGGACCCCAGGCAGGGCAGATTCCTGGACACAGATGTACTGCACCCTGAGCATGGGAAAGGGGAGGTGGGGAGAAGGGCAGGGACCCCTCACCACCACTGGCCCCTTCCGTCTGGCTCACCCGACCCTTGAGGGGCGGCTGAGTTGAAGAGGTGTTGCAGACACTCTTCAGGTCTGAAGGCGGGGACTTTGGGCCCTCACTGTTGAATCTGGAGAAGGTGGTTGGCTTTGGGGCCGCTCTTTGTCTTCTTAACACAGGCTCCAGCGGAATGCTTCTGCCCATGTTCTGATCCTCAGCACCCAGCGCAGCCTTAAAACATTTTGGTAAATTCTTCCACATTTATTATGATGCCAGGACGGAATGCTAAGCACTTACCCAGGCCCTAACCATTTTTAAAGAGCTGAAGAGATTCCTGGGGCAGGGAAATGAGGCAACAGTGGCGAATTGGGCAAGACACTATCACTTCATAGGAAGTTTACTATTTAGATTCCAACTCAGTTTGGACTCTGAGTAGGAGTACCTACAGGCAGAATGGAACCTCAGCTTTTATTCTGTTCTTTTAGAAAGGGGTTCTTGACTTTCTTTATTTTTTCAGGACTAGGGGTTGAATCCAGGCCCACGTGCATGCTAGGCAAGTGCTCTAACACCAAGCTATACCCCAGCTCTTCTCATTTTATTTTAAGACAGGGTCTTACTAAATTGGCTAGGCTGGCCTTGAACTCTTGATCCTCCTGCCTCAGCCTCCTGCGTAGCTGGGATTGCAGATGTGTACCATCACATCTGTTTGACTTTGGCCTATCATAAGTTCCACTAAGAAGCTTGGATTCTATCACATCCTTAAATCTTTAAAGTCCTGTGGGCCTTCTTGTCTGGTTTTTGTTGTCTCAACAAAGACTTGAACAAGGACACTAAGAAAAGGAATCAAAAGTGTGCATTTATTGAAGGTGGAAGAGAAATACACTCTGCAGAGTGAGAACAGCCTTAAGGATAAAGAAAAGGACCTTTTGTGCCCAAAATTCCAGAGTTATCTCCTTCTCACGCAAATAAGGCATTGGGACAGTTGTCCTGTCAAACACTCACTTGGCATCAGTCATTTGTAAACTATACTATCAAAAAACTCCCTTGGCTTCCTGCCATATGTAAATGAAGGGTCAGGAACAGGGTCTATTGATTGGCTGTGCCCATATGCAAAAGAAGTATTGAAAAGATCACTTTTCTGATTGGTTCTGTGTCCAGTGATGATGGTGTCACCCTATGGGGAGTATCCCTTACCCTGTTGCCCTGTCTTACTTGTATCTAGACTACTTTTAATATAAGTACATTTCCAGGCATTAAGAGGGAAGGAGAAACTTCTTTATTGACAATTAAGCTGTAGATATAACATTCTACGCAGCAATCATTATCCCCATCATTTGGACTACCCACAAACTTCCTTACCCTGAATTACCTTAGTGAAGGTGTTTTGGGGCTTAAAAATAACAAGTCATTGCCCAACCCTCCTCTTGATTCTGCACTGTTCAGGCCCAGTAAACATTTTCCCATGGGGCTATTGCTCCATGGTTGACAGGAGGACTTGTACTAGTCCCCTCAAAGAATGAGTATTACTCAACACAGATGAAGCAGATACGCGGTTATTCCACCTGGGGAATATCGGGACAAGTGACATTCAGAGGCCTACTGCCATCTGATATATGCTGCCATGTGTGGGGGCATCTTTTAAAATGCACACGTCACTGCAGTTCTCTTAGGCCACTTGGTGACAAGACCTGCTCCCTCATTAGCAATTGGGTACAGCTCATGTTTCCCTTTGCCAAAAAGGGCAAAGGCTGTGAGCAAGGAGCCAGCTTTTTTCTGATTACAAAACTGACCACAATTCCTTGCCAACCTAATAGGGTAAGTCGTTTTTGCTCCCCCCCCCTTTTTTTTTTCTGGTAATGCATTATCCTTCTTGGCGAGAACTCCATTTTCCCATTATGACATAGCTGTTAGCATTTAAATATCCACTGTTGGGACATTGCTGCAGTTGCTGTTGATGAATAAACTGAAGTTTAAAAGCAGCAAACCCTGATCTATAAACTTGAAAGCATAGCAGAACTTCATGCTCTCAGCTGTTCAGTTTTATAGAATTTGGAGCACAGTCAATATCATTTGGGGCTTTTTAAGATAGTCAAATAAACGCCTTAGGAATAGAACATTTCGGTAGCATGCTGGTAGCAAAATATTAAACTATAAATACATATGTGAATTCCAAAGTTTTTTCAGAGAGTGTGATTAGAGACTCAACCAGGAATAGACATCTAAGAAAAGCTGCCCAAGTAAATTGATCTGGTATTTTATAATCCAGAGATTTGAGGTTTTCTCTTTGAGAAGTAGCAGGTATGTGTTTACCACAGTAACAAAGGAAATCGACTATGGAGTGGAGTCTGCTCTGCGACTTCCCAATACTATACAGTTCACGCCCCTCAAGACACTAACCATGTGGGTCACTGGCGCGACAGTGTGGCAATGCTTTCCTTGTAATGTACCAGGTCTTGCCAAAGCGGCAAACCACGTTAGGACACATTTTGTCACAGCTGGCTCCTCACAGGGCAACACCAGCCAACTTGAGCCCAGTCCTTGCTATACTTATGCCCATCTCTCTCCCAAATCTTTGGAAATTGATGTCTTCACTCACTGCTGTATTCACAAGTTCTAGGACCACGAGTCCTTTCCCTTAATGGATTGATCTTTTGCGAGAAATAGACACAGCGTCAGTGTGAATTTCAAAGCGTCTCCACCCCATACTGCCATGGGAGAGACTGTGGGAGACCCTCCTGTGGACTCAGAGAGTGAGTCCTTCACTGATGCGCTGTCTGCCAGTGCCCCGCAAGGTAAAGTCGGCCCCGGGTTCGGCTGCTGGGGAGGCCTGGGGCACTTGCGCAAGGGTGAAATCGCTTGGCTGGTTGGTTCTCCACGCTCATTTCTGTACCACCCTGTGTGCACTCCGGTGCCTCAGTGCTGTGCTTGCAGCAGTAACGGTCCCTTATTAATGATCCACAACCTTAAACACAGCAACCTCACCTAATCCGTATCTTAGCTTTCCATGTGGCTGCCATTTCCTGAATTTTAAGCATGAAAGGTGTATTTATATCCCAGAGCAATCCTACTCGTTTTTTATTTTCTGAGTTTGCATACATTTCCCCAAAATACTGATGGGCTTACTAGAATACTCAAAGGGCCACTTTTTCACCTCTTTATCTCATATGTTAGGTATCTCTCAAAGCCTTTTTTATTCCTCTTACATACAGCATTTGTATTGCTCTGAAAGTACTCTCAGCACTTTTCAGGGCCAGCTGGAAATTTAGATATTTGTACACATATCTGATCGCTCCCAAAGAATATCCCAAAGATCCTCCCAGAGTGTAGGAACGAGTTTCATTCTGTTTTAAATTTCTTCCGATATCTCCTACCCTAATACATTGTAGAAAAATAGATTGTGGGGACCTAGAAGAAAATGTGTTTTAAGCATCTCATTTTACACATCAAGAAAAGGAGGTCCCTAAAAGGTTATATGTCTGCTAAATAAATAACTAAATATATTATTTCTATTTGGATTTGTCAGATTGAAGCAGAAACCTCATTTTTCAACATTTCTTTCTTGGCTTTGGCAACTGTGAAGTTCTTCATTTCTACAGCTCCTTCTACTGGAATTTCTCAGCACAGCCCCTTTCTGCTTTGTTTCATGTTTATATCTATATTTCTATTTATTTTTCTCTTCTTGTAGATTGTATATAAAAGCAAATTGTGTTAACTGCACATTCATGTTTTATAAATGCTAAAGCATTAAAATTCAGCCACTGAATAGTTGAAATGGTTAGCCCTTGAACTTTGAATTTTCCAGGAAGCCCGAAGTGTGAATATATTAGTCACAATTTTTTAAAATATCAAACTTTTAAAAAAATTTTAAGCAAACATATATGAC